TATAGCGAAGTATATTGGCTTGAAAAGATCATTTCTACATACAATACTGAATGTTCTGATTACATGTAATATAAAATCCTGTGCCTTTCAATTAAATTATCACAAATGTTCACTGTGTAAAATCTAGTAGCTATCAATAGCATTTGAATGATACTTACATCTCGTGAGTCAACAGCTGCATACATAATGTCCATCCAGCCTTTAAATGTGGCCTGTAAACAACATATTTTTGAATTCTGCATAAAAACCTAATCTAAGAATATGCCTTTTACCATATGAAAATCGATAGTTTCAGTACAAATGACTTTTGTGCAATATTATGAAATTTTATATGAAGAGATTGAAATGAATTGAATGAAGAAGTGAAATTGAAATAGAACAAGATTTTATCTAGAGTCAGGAACTCCTTTTCTTTGTTAGAAGATTTTCTATTTTTTTCTACAGTAAAATACAACCAAATTTATGAAACTCCCATCTCGGTCTCAAATCCTTTTTGTACCAAAAGGTAAGCTCTATTCCAACCTATGGCATGTTTACACACAACTCAGTTGTGTTTATTGATTAGGTAATATACTGTCAATTAAGCCAAAATTATTAAACATTACACATTTTGAAATCCACTCCATAAAATTTGCATTAACATACATAGTAGAACCATACTCCTTAGATGTTGGTACCATTATTAACTGGCTAATAATCCATACATTTAATTCATTACTACAATACATGTGTTATTACTTTAGTACACAAAATTGCTCCTTTGTCATTCATTGCTATAGAAAACCAAAAATGGTAATAGCACAATAGCCTTCAATAATGTAACAAAAACAAACAGGAAGCAGAAATATAAAATCACATTAAAACATACTAAAAACAGAATACTGGAGAAAATACATTATAAAATAACTGCAAAACACCTTCTTTACAGTCAAGTCAATAGTATAGGTGTTATCATCACCTAACTTTTGTACATTCAGATATTAATCATTCAAAGAACATGAGATAAATGATCTTATTTGAAACATTTTGAAAATGTTTTCAAAACAAAGTAGCCACTTACCACTTGAAGCAATGCGAGGTAGCCGGCACCAACATTATCAAAGTTTACTTTCACATTTTTCCACCGAGCTTGCTTGCCAAGAGCCTGACAATCGCTCAAATTGTTGACTTCACTAATTTCAAACATGTTACCCGTTGTTGTGTTAACACAGTGGTAGAACTTGCCAGCAAACAAATTCACACCCATGATGCTAAAGATCAGCCAGAAGATGAGACAAACCAACAGCACGTTCATGATGGAGGGAATTGCTCCAACAAGAGCATTCACAACCACCTGGAAGAGGACATGAGGATAAGGCAGCTTACACATTGTTAAATTGGAAAACATTTCTTTCATTTACTTAATACTAAAATGGGTGTGAAAAGAGTTAAATAAAAATATAGGTAGATGAGTCCCTTCCAATATTTTCTGGGACATACTTGATAAGGGAAAATAAACAATGACACAATAAAAGAGCTAAAGGATTTAAGGAAAGCAAAATATGTCAAAGTGTGAAAAGAAATAAACAAAACCTGATATAGTTAAGATGGAGTTAGAAAATGTTTTTATGCTGGGGGAAAAAAAGAAAAAAATGTATTAAATACCAACAGAAAAAATAATCATCATTCAGCAATACATTTTAATTTTCAAGAGTGTTAATGAGTGATTGATAATTTGAAAGTGTGGCTAAAAAAGCTATTTGCAATAAGCAAAGTATTAATGCATTAAATCTGTATCTGAAAACTGAGTTAACTTTTCATGGCTATGAAGAATAAGATTAGGAATTTACAGGGTCCTTTTTTCCCTATTGGTAAATCCCAATTTAAAAAAGTATATTATTAAATTAGCAATTTATCTCTGGACATAAAAGCACAGAATGTGTTCCCATTATTATTATTCCAAATCTCTTAAATGTTCACTTTGGGGCACGTGCTACTTCACCAGGCCAACCCAACTTCATGAAGGAGAAATTTAGTCTACTTTTCTCTTATTAAATTCAGAAGAGATTAAGATGTATTTTGAAATCTGTAAGGAGGTCAATAATATATTTTCTTATCTAATTTAATCTAGTTTATATTGGACTATTTTGTTAAGTGAAACTGTTGTTCTATTTTAAAATATCACAAATATTATTTTAGGAATCAACACCAAAAAATTTTAAATTGGTGTCAAAACCTAAAATCCAAAATTGTGAAAATCTCATATGCTACTTGGATTTCATTTCTTTTGCAAGTTAAGTCAAATATATTATGCTTAAGCCTGTTTTTTCTGCTACTAAAATTTGGTAAAATTACCTCCACAAGTTTTATCATAAAAAAATGCATAGTACATTTTACCATATTTTATAGCTAGAAAGTTAATTCTGCCAAATGACTGAATTAAAAAATGACAAACAGAATACTTTTCAGATTGGAGCAAATTTTATAAGATTTTTATGTTATTTAATTGCACTCTCCTCCTCAGAAAAGAATTCTTAATATGAAGCCATACAATCAGATGAGGGCTTAAGTAATGTAAGTAATGGTAAAAGTTTGGTGTGAAAAGAGCCTAAAATTGTGTAATAATTTAATAATTTTTATAAATTTTATCTTGTGATTTTCTTATCAAGTAGAAAAGAAATGAAATAATAACGTAAAACCAAGTATTTCCTTGCTTTCAAGTGCTTCTGAAAAGTCTGGAGAGTGGTTTCATTCTTCTTGGTGAGTGAGTCTCAAAGTCAAGGCTGAAATGTTTTTATTGCCCAAACAAATGACCTCTTAACATAAAGGCCCCATGACCTAGAAGAAATTCAATATCCGTGTGCATTTGCAAGCTGGATTAAACAAAGCTGGCCTTTGTGCTGCATAGTATTTTGAGAGGCGTGGCAAGTGGGTGTGTATGTAAGTATGTACTTTATGTTTAGATGCATACAATATACAGAAGGGGAGAGAGCTAGAAAGGAAAATACGAGTGCTATAGAAAAAGTGAACCTCATTCAGAATGCTCACTTAAAAGGGAGCTCTGTAAAACAAACCCCAGGGGCTGCCTGTAATCCTTAATTATCCTAACCCCTACTTTGTTTGCTTAGGATACATAGATTTTGTCAGAGGCTACAATTTGGTGGCGTTTTCTTGCACAACAACTATTTTTCTTACTGATATTAATTGAAGAAGTGAAAGCACACAAAACCCATTTTACCTTTCATTCATTACCAGTAATTTTTGAGGAACGAATCTACCTATTGAGGAAGAAAAGCTCCTCCTAAGATGAATGTCGGTAGTAAATAGTCATTTTAAAGTGTATAAGTAATGGAAACAAATAAATGGCAGCACACGGTTTGGGGATTTTGTGGAAACATCCTTGAGCTGCTCTCAAGAGACCTGGATTCTAGCCCTAGCTCTGCCACAGTTTTTGAGGATCTGTTTCAGTTTCATGAGGCTAGACTTAGCGATCTCTAAGATCCCTGGATAGAAACTTTGTAATTCTATTAAATAAATTTCAAAAGAGTATGGCACATCTCTGTATTTAAGTTATGACCTACATTTAATTTTGACATGAATCACTGGAGAGGTTCTACCCTTCTTACCCTCATGCCTTCAAACCGTGATAAAGCTCTTAGAGGTCTTAAAGCCCTCAGTGTCCGGAGAGATTTGATGGCACCAAGTTCTGAGTAGCCGAGAGCATTGGCTACCAAGCTAACCAAAGAAACCTACGAAAGAAAAAAAAAAATACTCATTAGTCCACCAAGAAATAAGCTGCTGACTTTAGTGACAACCATATAAAACTTCAGACATGTCTTGGCAGCCTTTATCTTCCACATAGTGGGATCATTTTATATTGCCAGCCTCATCTCATATTATTAATTTTCTTACCAGTGAAACTGAGTCCTTGACCATTTTTATAAACATTTGTAAATGCCTCCAGTTAGATATTTCACCCATGGAACCCTGTTAAACTTGTGCATATATATCACGGGTGATTCAGGATTTGGTTCAAAAGCCATAGATCTATACTTAATGTTGTCATTTAGAAATCATGTTTCTCTCCCGAATTTATGTAGTCTTTGCTATGTGTACTGGAAGCATTTACCATGTAGTAGTCAATTAGTTAGATATCTTTTCTTCCCTTCCAGGCCACATAAACTTTTCATGGGCTGAGATGAAATGTTCTTCTCTTAATGTGCCTAATACTGTCTGGTTGAATATGCTTTAGTCAATATGTGTTGCATAAATAAACAAAAGGGGAAACATTACCTGGAAAAACATTTCATCAGACCATAGTCTGCTTTCATAATCATAGAGAAGTTTTTACCCAAACGACTGGACTTATGATTTAGAATATGCACCTCTCATGCAGGGTGATAACACATCTTTCTAATATTTACACGTATGTTAAATATTATTTAAATATATGAAAGATTAAAGAAGACATCTTTTTTTGGTAGAAGAGACTTTCTCTGCTTTGATTTGCTTTCAACATGACATTTATTGAAAATTTACTATGCGCTCGGTTCTGTTCTAAGTGCCTTACATGTATAAATCTCAAGAATTAGGGCCGGCCGAGTGGCGCGATGGTTAAGAGCTGGCTTGGGATGCCAGAGGGCCCTGGTTCAGATCCCACATATGAGGGCCAGTGACACTGCCCTCCAAGCTAAGATGCTGAACAGCAGCTCAACCTGGAGCTGGGCTGCTGTGAGTTGCCGGCAACGGCGTAGACTGCAGCCCCTGCTGCAGTGGGTTGCCATGGGCTACCGTGTGTAGCCAGCAGCCAATGTGAGTGGCCAGCAGCCGCTGTGAGTGGCCGTCCAGAAGCCGGCAACTGATCTGCCTCTCCCGGGAAGAGCGCAATGATGGTGCCAACTTGGGCCAGTGAAGCAACATCCTCCACAACTAGACTGAAGAACAAAAAGACAGCAACTTGTTGTTCCCCTTCCCCCAATTCCCCAGCACTGTTCCCATCCCCCAATTCCCCAATTAAAATCTTAAAAAAAAAAAAAAGAATTAGGTACTATTACTCATGACTTTTTACTAGTGAGGAAGTTGAGTTGCCTTCCCCACCCTCCTGCCCCCATTATCTTCCCACCTCCAAAAGCAAAGAGATGGATTTGAGGCTTGAACCCAAGTTATCTGACTTCAAAACCATATCTTAACATTTTGCATCCATTATCAAAAATGTGTTCTTCATCTGAGGAATACAGAAAATGACTTGAGTGATTTTCTTCTCAGTGCTTTCCTTGATGCATAGGAAAGAAATTAGTTCATTACATCCACTGGGTAGCTTAAGGGCATTAAGGCTTAGTTTCTTGTGAAAAGGGCCATTGAAAATGGATCCAAATGAATCCCCTCAATAATCTTGTGAGGTCAGATGAAAACAATGATCTGACCAAGAACACCATGTATAAGAGGAGACACCAAAACCAGAACCAAGACTTTCAAGGCAAATGGAGACACTGTCCACTCATTGTTTAATTTAGCATACATCTCTCAAAATTGAACAGAAAAATAAATGACTGGAAGTTAAACTTGAGTAGTGGCAGGATAATTTATTGAGCTATTCATTTCTGTCTAGTATTTGCTGCTACAGAAGACTGGAAAGATGGGAGAGGTTATTAAAGAATGCACAGGCTTTTATATTCTGGGCTCCTTTGCCTCAAGAGGCATTAACAGCTTCTTTATATTTCTGGAGCTGCTTTCTGAAGACTTCCCTCATTCTCCCAACCAAGTCCTTTGTTTAAAGGTAAATGGCTGCAAATTTATCAAGACCTTAAAGTAAGGAAGCTCATGCTTTGAAAAGGGAGAAGAAAAAGAGGTTAATAGCCAGAACCAGAAGGTACTGGAAGGATAGGAAATTGTGGGTTCAAAGGCTGGGAGGTACCACTTGCATATAATCATCCCACAGTGGGGTGTTTCTGTGTGTTTCTAGAAAACCTGGGCATTGGTTAATTGGCCTTCTTTTAATGAACTTCATGTTATTTTGTGTAGCATAAAAACTCATTTTATTGAGTTAACTATTGTGAAAAAATTAATATGCTTTAGAGGCAATTTTGAAATAAGTAGTTTAGATTTGCAATATACTTAAATTTTGAAGATAATGTCCTATATTGGTAGGGTGCTTTGCAACTTACAGTGATCTTTTTCACTTATTGTCTTTGTCTCAGAGTAGTCAAATGACTAGTCACTTGTCCAAGAAAAGGTAGAAAGGGGCAAGCTCATCACTAGAAGTTAGGTCTTCAGTTTTGAAGTTCAGTGTTTTCCACCTCAGCAACTTTGTCCCCAACCTTTCAGTACATAGTGTTTTAATCTTCATCACTTTTGTGATGAAAGCACATGAAAGGCACACTTGCTAATATATACAAACTATCACAGAAACCTTTTCCCAAAACCTGAATTTTTAGTACAAATTTACATGATTCTTGAGGCCTCACTACACAGCAAATACTACTGTTTGAAACTGTCTGTGACAGATGTTACAGAGGTGCTTTGGTTGTCATCTACATTTTTCAACATTTCTATAACAGCTGAGACTGATTAGAAAAAGAATAAAGCAGAAGGGATTTATGGATCTGAAGAAGACTCCAGAAATCCTGTGACTGGTTAATGAACAAAGTAATATGAATTTATTTCCCTTAAAAATGGCTAAAGATGATATTTAAGTTCAATATAAACAATTAAAAGATTAAAACTATATGATCACCTCCATATATTCAGGTAATACATTTTAATCCCAAAGTTTGCATAATTTTTGATGGTAAAATCAAAAAGCATATCCATTAAAATCAGAAATAAAAGAATATGCCCACTAGTAACTTAACACTTTCTGGAAAAAGAAATAAGAGCTATCAGAGTTTTTAAAAATGGAAGACGTCATTATTTGCAGATATATTATTGTTGACCTCAAAAGAAAACCTAGGGAATAAAATGAAAACTATTATAAACAACAATATCATTTCACTATTTTAAGTACAATATTTTTTTGTTTTTACTATTTGTGTGTCTTTTGGAACTATACAAATGTTAAAATATTTTAAAAAAGAGTAAGATAATCTAATATATTATTTTAAGAAGAAGAACAATCAGAGTGGACAAATCCCACCTGATATTAAAAACAATTATAAATCGGGCCAGCCGAGTGGCTCAGTTGGTTAAGAGCTCGCTCAAGAGTTTGAGCTCTGAGCAACAGTGGTTCAATTCCCGGCCCGAGCTGAGCAGCTGCTGAATTGCCAACAGGTGTCAGGATGGCTCAGCTTAAAAAAAAAAAAAAGCAAAAAAACAATTATAAATCTGCAATAATTAAGTCTGTCATTTAGTAGACAAGAGAAATGAATGAATCATAGTAAATCATAGTAAATGTAAATTAGACCCAAGACATACTGAGATTTAGCATGTAAGTAAGGATAGCATTTTAAATGAGAGAGAAAAAGAACATCTAAAATGTGAAAACATTGTGAGGAAAATAATATTGGAGCTGAACCTTACTCCTTACACTAAAATAAGTTCTAGACTGATCAAAAATTAAAACCTTAAAAAAATTGGATGAAGAAACAAAACTCAAGTTATAAAACTGGAAGAAATAAAACATGAGAAAATATTTTAGTGGTAAAAAATAATAATCTTGAAGGGAGTTTTGATGAGCATGAGAAAAACTAAGAAGAAAAAGAAGACTGATAAATTTGACTAAATGAATATGAAAAATTCCAAGGTAACAAAGAAACAAAGACAAAAACTCTAATAAGAAAAATAGTTATACCACTTGTGACAAAACAGCAAATTTCCTTAGTATAAGAACTCCTACAAATCAGTGACAAAAATGTCAGTAACCAAAACATACAGATTTCGTCCAAATTTTCCTCTATTCTGCTTGAACAATACATTTATTTAAGCTCCCTATTGAAACTCAACTAGCAGGAAAGCAAAGGAGTGCAAACAGAGAAGGTGGGAAAAGACGACAAATTCTCGACTATGGAGAGCACAAGAATGACTGCTCCCTCAGCGGAGCAGAAGCAGCAGAAACTCAAGAAGTCAAACTGCTCCAATGAACTGTCTTAAGGCTCTGGACCTGGAGTCACCAGATTCCCCTAAAACAGGGGTAACAGATGGCACTGAAAACAGAATTGGTTGGAAGTCTCTAAAGAGGAAAGGTGAGCACTTTTGAGTCCCATCATCCACCTCTCTCCAGGCTGGCAGGAGAGCAGAATGGAATAGCACACCTCACAGCTTGCAGAGTAAAATTTATATCTGCTACAGAAGTCAGAACACAGAAATAATAATCCACGTTGTGAGACCTTTGAGACCCCAAAGGCCTCCTCAACGCATCATGCAACTGAGGGTTTTCCATTAACTGTACCGTAGGGTTTAAATAGCATGTGGAATAACTTTGTATTTCTTCAAGCAAGAGCACCTAAACCTTCAGATTGCTAGGTGCACACCTCCCCCCTCCCACTCTAGAACAGTCCCCTTTTCAATCTGCTAGGCAGCTTCTAAAATGGGGCTCAGGTAATGGTGAGGACCAGGTGCAAAGCTGCCATGGAAGTGGTGGCAAAGGGCTGTTGGTGATGACAGGAGGTTGGGGATACTGGACATGGTGGGGTTTAGCCAGCTGGGATGGGTAAGGTTTATGGCAGGAAGGAAGTGAGGGATATTCCATGTCTGAGGTGCATAGAACAGTTTCTATGTAATGTCAATCAGGAAGGAGAGTTCATCAAAGGGAGCTTGTAACTCAGGGGCTGCCTCTTGGCCTTTCACATGCTTCTACTTCTATCTTAGGCTTTTACAGTTTCTTTGTCTTGAACTTGGTACATGATTAGAAAATTCATCACGCTCATAATCTATATAAAAGCAAACATCTCGGTCATTATGCCATGTGTGTGTGTGTGTGTGTGTGTGTGTGTGTGTGTGTGTTTGTGTGTGGCAGTGGGAAGCTGAAGATAATCTAAGTGTTCATCCCTTGGGGGATGAATGAGTAAATTCTGATGGTACATCACCATGGACAACTGTGTGGTACACAGCACCATGGGGTCCACAGCAATTTCATTTAAATATTACAAACACCAGTTTTTTAAAAATGGGGACTTTCAACCAGGTATTTGTTTTTTTTGCTTGTTTGTTTGTTTGTTTGTTTGTTTTAGCTGAGCCATCCTGCCACCTGTTGGCAGCTCAGCGGCAGCTCAGCTTGGGCCGGGAATTGAACCGGCGACCTTGTTGCTCAGAGCTCACACTCTTGAGAGAGCTCATTACCAACTAAGCCACTTAGCCAGCCTCAACCAGGTATTTCTAAGTTTACTTCCTTGTCTGGAATTCTGCAATTCAGTAATTTCAAGATGATTAAAGCAAAAAAATACTATATGTTATTTATGCTGAAAAGACAAATCACAGTTTTTTTTATTTATGGATGCATCATCTTTAATCAAATACACTGCTGGAAAATGCTCCTGTTTATGGGATATGTAATTATGAATCTATCCTGAGGTATAATTATTTTTTTTCTGGGAAAATAGGAATTGTTTTTGACACTTTACATAATGAACATATGTTAGTCACTTAACAGCTAAGTAACTACTCTGTGCCTCAATTTCCTCATCTACACAATCGGGATCATAACAGTAGATGCCTCGGTGGTTGTGAAGATTAAATTAACTAAGGCAAAGGCTAGTTATTAATGTTATACATGAGAATCCTTATCTGCCTGTACTGTCACAGTTTAGAATCCTAGCTGATGAATTGGTATGGTGTCCCATAGGATGGCCTTTTAAGAAGAGAAAGAGCCATGGGGATTTTTCTAAGGGAAGCATTTGACAATGTTATAACTGGAGGCAGGGAGAACCCTTAGTAAGCCATTGCTTGGTTCAATTAGTCATAATGGTGTTTGTATTGAAGAGGAGAGTCCAGACCCCAATTCACTTTTTAGTTGGTAACATGGAGAATTTGCTGTCTGAGTGGTTGTGAGTAGTGATAGAGAAGAAAAAGCCTGAAAATGACATTTGGTTTAGCTTCGTAGATATACCACCATCAGACTAAACAGATAATTAGGAAGAAATGCATGATTGGAAGGGAAAGACAGTGAACGTGCTCAGACAGGAGGAGTATCTAGTAAGTATTACCTAGGAAGCATTTAGAAATATGAGTTGGAATTTCAGGAAAGACCAGAATTAAAGACTTAAAACCTCTTTGTCCTAAAAGTCATGATCTTTTCAGACAAGAAAATAAATAAAAGGCATCCAAATTGGAAAGGAAGAAGTAAAACTGTCATTTGCAGATGACATGATACTATTATATATACACGGTCAGACAATTAAGTTTGCGAACTCATCTTAGAAAAACTGCTACATACCTCATTGCTGAATATCACTAAGGTCACTTTCGAAGTACTCTCCTTGGGAAGCTAAGCACCAATGCCAGCACCTAGTCCACCCTTCAAAGCAATTTTGGAACTCTTTTTCTGCAATGGCCATCAGAGCTGTTGTCATATTACCCTTGATGTCCTGAATGTCATCAAAATGTCTTCCTTTCAATATTTCCTTTATCTTTGGGTAAAGAAAGAAGTCATTGGGGGCCAGATCAGGTGAGTAGGAGGGTGTTCCAATACAGTTATTTGTTTACTGGCTAAAAACTCACTCCCTCACAGACAGTGCCATGTGAGCTGTTGCATCGTCGTGATGCAAAATTGTTGATGAAAAGTTCAGGACATCTAACTTTTTTACACAGCCTATTCAGCACTTCCAAATAGTAAACTTGGTTAACTGTTTATCCAGTTGGTACAAATTCATAATGAACAATCCCTTTGATATCAAAAAAGGTTAGCAACATTGTTGCAACAAGTTTGCTAACTTAATTGTCAGACCTTGTATATAGACAACCCTAAAGAGTCCACCAAAAAAAGTATTAGAACTAATAAATGAATTCAGTAAAGTATCAGGATACAAAATTAATATTCAGAAATCGGTTGCATTTTTTATAAACCAATAATAAACTGTCAGAAGGAGAATTTAAGAACACAATTCCATTTACAATTGCATAAAAAAAATACCTAGGAATAAATTTAAACAAAGAGGTAAAAGTCCTGTACTAAGAAAACTATAAGACACTGAAGAAAGAAATTAAAGAAGATACAAATGGAAGCACACACTGTGCTCATGGATTGGAAGAATTAACATCATTAAAATGTTCACACTACTCAAAGTAATCTATAGATTCAGTGCAATCCCTATCAAAAATACCGAACCAGAACAAATAATCTTAAAATTTATATGGAGCCATAAAAGACCCTGAATTGCCACAGCAATCTTGAGAAAGAAGAACAAAGTGAGAGGTATCATGCTACCTGACATCAAATCATACTACAAGGTTATAGTAATCAAAACATCATGGTACTGGCATAGAAGCAACACATAGATTAATGGAACAGAATAGAGAGCCCAGAAATAACACCTATATGGTCATTTAAACTATGACAAAGGAGGCAGGAACATACAGTGGGGTAAAGACAGTCTATTCAGTAAATGGTATTGGGAAAACTGGACAGATACACGTCTATATCAGGTGTCTAAGGATATAAACATGATACAAGACCTCTGCTCTTGAGAGGTTTTTTGCAATATATTCATATCTTCTATATGGGTTAAATACATGGAAATACTAAAAGTGCAATGTAGTATTTAAGTGAATGTAAATTTCAGTAAATGTAAATATTCAGTAAATTTCAGTTTTCTGAGAACTATCACATTTGTAAATGCTCTTTATACATGACAAAATCCTTTTGAAACAGAGAAGATTCCTAAATGTGTTTAGTGTTCCATCATTTCAGGGGGGAGCTAGAGATTATAAATGCTAAATCTTAAAGCCAATTTGGAAAAAAATAATACCATATTTGTACCAATTAGATAAATCAGTGGCATAAAGGAGCACTGAATTGAGAATTAGGAAATTTGTACACTATTCTTAGCTTTGTTACAAAGTAATTGTGCTATTTTTGCATAATTCTTTAAACTGAGGCTTCAATTTAGAATAAACTCTTTAGAAAATTATCTAGAATAAATGCTAGATATTCTTTAAGATCCATTCCAGCTGTAGAATATGAGAATATTAAACTTCCCTTTATGGGTAGCTTTTGAGGATAATGTTGAAATTCATCTCTATTATTCATTGAAGACCAGCCATAGGAATTGGAAGTCATTTGTGGTCTATTAAAAGTGACATGGCAGCAGATTTCTTCTCACTTCAGAGTTAAACACATTTTGGTTATAGAATAATGAGTATGTATGTGTGGGAGAAAGGGGAGTAGAATTTAGGTAGACCCACACTTGTCAGAAATGATAAAAAGAATAAATGGATGCATACCACAATCATTGATTCATACTGGCAAGTGTTCAAGCTGAAAATAAAGTGCTTTATGATTGCTAGGAAACAGCTACAAGTACTTAAAGCACCTTGTTTTGTTGGGAGGCTGGGAGGCCTTGTATCACAGACTACAAAGAACCAGGTGACTGTCATTTTATTCCAGTGCCTCTAAATCGCTAGGAATAAAAAAAGGCTGCGGGTCAAACAGATCCCATTATTGGCAGCATTCCCATGACGACTCACCCAGGGTATTGGATTCAGAGCAGGGCTCCTACACCTAGCTCTCTGTATGGTAAATATCTGATTAGCTACTGGGCTAACTACTGATTTAAGAATAGAAGTGCATTTTATTGTCTGTGGGGATGTGGCTGAATGAATACAGGATAGGTTATTTTAACACCATTTAATAACATGTACTCTACTAAGGGATTAAAGAGCAATTCTCACAATTTCTGCCCTCAAATCTGTCTTGATTTTACTTCTTTGATATATTTTTTTTATTGAACTGTTAATAAATGCTTAGATCTGTCAATTAACACCAATTTGCTCTTTTGGCTATTTCTTAACTTGAGGTCCTTTCAGAAACATAAGAGCTGTCTGCTTGTGACATAAAACTGCTCTTTCTGTGTTTTCTCTTACCACTGTCCACATTTTTAGGACCTCTTCTGTTTTCCATGAGGCTGTTCTCATTTTTGCATTTATTATGTGTTTTTAAAAAGATAATTGCATAATTGTGTCAGCATTAATGAAACTAGGTTCTCAAAAGTCAAGGTCTTAATTAGAAAAGTATATGAAATGTCAAATTTGCCTCTTAAAAATAATTTTATTAAAATCACTCAGTGTACTTACATCGACGATCAAGAAATCTAGCCAGCACCAGGCGTTAGTGAAGTATGTTTGAAATCCATAAGCTACCCATTTGAGAAGCATTTCCAGGATGAATATATAAGTAAAGACTTTGTCCGCATATTCTAGCATAGTTTTGATAGTCTTTCGCTGTTCAATGTATATATCCTCAAATGCCTGTGAATGAAGAATGCTTTTATTTTAATTGAATGGCTTGTCTCCCCCAAATACTTGATAAAATTCTTAATATAATACTGATCACAAAGCAATGATTTGATAAATATTAGCTAATATCAGACAAGCATTGAACATCAGACACAATTTAAAGACTAAAACTAATGGAAAGTGTTGTTAAAGAAATGTCAGTATCTTTGCCGATTTGGTATGTACTTTTCCCCCTGCCTCTCACTCCCAAACCTCTATTTCAATTATGGCTACAAAAACATGCTTTGAGAGAAGTAATATAAACTCAGAAAATAACCAGTAGTTTTGTTAATGAGGGAGAGACTTTGCCTGTTCCAACATAACCTCGAGTGATTCTCTGAATGATCTGGCTTGTATTGAAAGCATAAACTGATTAGACATAAAGAAAACAAGACGCACTTTTAGTCCACAAATGCTAATATGATTATTAGGGAGAACTGGATGGTATTTGACATGGAAGTTAACATAGTTACAGAATGTCTCTGTAAGTGGTTTTCAAACATCTGTTAGATAAACACCAGATGAGAAATTCCATCTGGCTCTTCATAGTCCTGATTTATCCTGTACTGAATTTTGCATAAACCCTGCTTCCCAAGGGCTGCAAGGCACAGGTACACCTCGTCTTTTGCTCCTTAAACTCAGTGTATGCCTCTGGCATTTTTGGAGAATACGCTATTTTACTAGAACCTGATTCTTGCCAATATGCGTTTCACTTACCAGAGCACCACTACTAAGAAGGATCATGAAGACAATGAAAGTCTCAAACCAGTTGTGCTCAACAATGCTGTAGCAGGTTTTCCGAAGGTTCCACCACACCTTTCCTTTGCCTTCTTCTATACTTACTTGACAGAATGGAAACTTTTTAATACATCCTGAAAGATCAGATTAAATATAATAAATTAGAAAAATCTATTTTACCCATAGTTAGGGAAAAATAAACTTCATTGCTGCCTCCCCACCTCAGGCGTAGATCATCATTTAATAGGGTAACTTGTTTCTACATTCTCTCGTCATCCTCAGCATCCCTTCTGTATAATGAATCAATCTCAGACTCAGCTATTCAACCAGCTCTCTAGAATGCAAGGAATTACTTTACCAAGAGTTGCTTGAGTATAAATGGCTTCAGCCTTTAATACTAGGTAGGATCTCGTTTGCCTCGAGGTCACTGATGGAAATAGGGTCCAAGAACACATCACAGGTTTGGGGAAAAACTACACGTTCAAATTGTTTATTCATTTTTTGATGTGATCCTGGATTTTTATTCCCTCCCTTTCACACACAGAACGTCCCCATCTTCCCAGGCATCAGCCACTGTCAGTTTCCCCAAGCTAATTTACGTTCAGCCTCAGAGCTGTTTGTAGTCACACCTGTGACTCGTTTTGTCAGTCAGTATCTCTATTCCTTTGTCTTCCCCATCTTTGCTTTCATGATATTTCTAACTTCCATCCACTCTAACTCTGATCTTCTACTCATCAGATTAAATCCAATCACATCAAATCAGCAAATCTTTATTGATTTGTATGCAAGACACTATACTGGTCACTGAGAGAACTACTGTTCTCCCTGCCACATTCATCCCCAAGCAGCTCTGGTCCCAGCACAAATTAACCACATTTGTTACTGTAAGGGATGTGGTGTAATTATTGTGGTATCTACAATATAAATCAGATCACTGCACTGACAATGAGGTCTGAAGTGACTGCTGTTCTAGAACGCCATTTATCTCATAGTATTCTCCACATTTTGGAGAACTGAAAACCAAACAAAAAAAGACATGCCAATTCATCTTAATTGTGCCAGCACAGTCACTGCTACAGTATAATCTGGAAATAGAGATAAATTCACATTTTGGAAGAAAAGAGAAAAACAAAGATAAACATGCCTTCACCATTTCTTTGAAATACTTTTGTCAAGTGAGGTATAGTCAGTCAGTCTCTGTAAGAAAAGGGGGGGGATTACATTTAATCGTATTAGAGCTTGTTTACCTTCAGTAAAACAAGCTTCTGGTTTAAGGTCTTCCTCCGGTTCAGTTTCAGCCTGTTCACCTTCTCGAGGTGGGGCAACATCAACTGTGCTTCCTTCCGATGAGCTGGTTGCATTTAATTTCTGGAAACAAAACCCCATTGCAAAGATGTAATTTTTCTTCCCTTTTATTCAGTTAATTTGGAAGAAATGCTCTGTCATAGTGTGAAAAAATGGTAGTGATAGCATTTGATTCTATTAACATTACTGATAATTATGCATAATAATTTAACATAACTAAAGCCCTACTGTTCAAAACAATGTAACTACTGACCTGTTTCAGATAAAAAAAAAATTTAGACAGCTTTCAATGTGGATGATTTGGAAAGGATGGACTGTACGGATTAACTGTTCTATGATCTCTGTTTATATATGAATGTCATATGCAAACAATTTAATACATTAAGAACTCAGGCCAAATCAAGAATAGTTTGATAAAGTTTGGAATGCTGACATCCATTACTAATTATATTAATTAAAATGCATCATATCAAATTGCAATTTCCACCTCTTCCAATGGAAATTTTCAGAGAGCAAAGAACATTACCAATTGTCTGTAACTACTGTCCATGTTTCTGTAATTTTAGAAAGGAAGAATGGATCATTAACATTACTCACAGTCATTATACTTCAATTTTGAGCTATATTTTTCTCTGGCTTACATAATTTTCTTCTTACTTTACTAGCAGAAAAATGATGGATCTCCCTCTCTTTCCCTCACTTTCTTTCTCCCTCTCTGAATTGCTTAAATGGATTCAATACTTGCCAAAGAATTCTAAATGGAAATTTCTTCATAACTGGCATTGTCCAGAATCTGGATTGACTTATTAGGAGCACATTCTTAATTCAACATGTGATCAGGCTGTGAATTTTTCCATTAAATAAATCATTGTGACATGCCACAGGACTAGGAACAGCCACTTTAATGTTACAAGAATAAATGTCTAATAAGTACTCTGAGAACACTCGGGAAGACATTATGGATGTACCATGTTTTGTGAAACCAGGTGCAAAGAAATGACATACACCAGAACCTAGGAAATGTAAAGCTTTTAGAATGAAAGAACAGCACATAGACATGTTAATGGTTTCAAAGCCTCAATTAACTTTAGTAGCCAAGTGGTAAGGCCACTCTGCTTCTGAAAGAGTTAATGTGTTATTGACAAATGCCTAAATGACTCCCTAAAGATATGTCATATTGGAGGAAATTTGGCTCAAAGTTCTTGATTTATTGAAATCATAATGCAAATGTAGTTTAATATTTTATAATGTGAACTAATTGAAGAGTGGTATCCAGATGATACTTTCTGTGATGCTACTTTGAGGGTGAGGTTAACCAGGTGCAACTAAATATATTATAAAAATTACTTTAAGTCAAAATATAATTCTATATAAAATGCCTCCTAGTGTGGAGTATGGTACAGGTAGAAGCTAGCCATCATTTTTGGCTGATGGTTCATAGGATGATTATAGTACAAGAATTTACCATTAAATTCCTCTAATTTTTGGAGAGGTGAAGCGTCAAGACATATTTTCTTCTCCCAGGATTTTTTTTTGCTTCTTATACCCAGGATATCTTTATTCTTTTAAGAAAATCCCAAGAAAGCTATTACTGGATAGAATTGCAGCAGCTCCTTGTATTACGAAGAAAATACTGGATCATTGTTTCCACGCAGCAACTAACTCCTTCCAATTTCACTTTTTGTTCAATGGGTTGAACACCATGGCATTTAATGAGTGGCAGCAATAATATCATAATTGCATAATATGATAATATCATAAGTGCATATATAAAAACAGTAAGAAACCATTTTTTTTATATTAGTTTTTAAAAATTTCATGTTTTCCCTCTTGGCCAACCCAAGCTTGGTAATTTCTTTTGATTCTGGTCATGGTCCACCTCCAGCATGAATCCTTTCTTTCACGCATGGTTTCTCCACACTAAATTTTATAGACATTTAGTCTATTATACTTGTTTGTTTTGAATATTTATGATAAATACTCTCATAAATAAATATATATATATATATGAATTATATATGTACATACTTATATATTTATGTACATATACATAAACATATATACCAAAAATGTTACACACGCACACACATATATATACACCAGAAGCATAGAATAGACACTAGTGTTGTTGAGTTTATGAAGAGTGAATAAATGAATGATTACATTTTTGTATTACTCTTACAGAGAGAATAATAGTATTTAGATAATTTCATCTCTCCATTTTGATATATAACTCAATCATGGCCTATCAGAAATCTACTTAATGTATTAGAAAATGCATTTTCATAATGAATAGGAATTATTTAATTAATAATATTTTAGTAATAAAAACACATGATATTTCCAAAATGTTTCTCTAAAAGTTTGGCAGACAATTAAAAAATTCTGACTACTTTATCAGATTTGACAAAGAAATCTGAGAGAAGAAATTAAGAAGTATACATGTATATACACACACAAAAATACACACATAATTTTCCATTTGAAAACTTTAGAAAATATACTCACCCTTCACTTCTCATTTTACCACTGCTGATATAATTGTGAGACGTTTATTGTTTTGCATTGTAGTTATCTGCCATATATTATATAGGTGTCTTATATTTAAATACAAATATTTAAAGCAAACACTTCACAGCATAAGTAATAGTAACTGCTAATCTGAATGACAACTGGATCTACTGTTTACTAAGTATTGATCTCTGTTTATATTTTTGTATTGATACTGTCTTTAGATTATAAATATTGGTGAATGTGGTTAACATGTTTGGATATAAATAATGTTAGTTTTCCAAATGATGCATTCAAAAATCGTAACATAGAGAGGGTCAGTAGTGAATTAGTTCACCTCTATCTGCCTGGCATTATGAGTCATAACATATCTTTTGAACACAAACAAGGAAAAAATTCTGCATGTCTTCTCTTCTCAAACAAGCAAAACCCATTTTACATGGAGAATTGCTTCACTGTTATCCAGGAGTTTTTCTGATTGTAAGGATAAGTTCTTTAAAGTTACGCTCTGGAAAGCTCCTTACGGAATGTTCAGACAGACTTGTAGACCCTCATGCACCAAAGCTTAAAAGATTGTAGTGTTCATTTTATGAAAAAATCATTTTGTGGGAGGCTCCTTTCCCTATTCCATAAAGTTAATTTGTCCTAAATGGAAGAATCAAGCTTATTCATAGTATAATATTTGGCCTATATGAAGATAGGCCACAAATTTGTCATAGAAAAACATGTACATTTTATTCTATGAAGTTATAAAAATGTCGTATCAACTACATAAATTTTAAAAGTTGTACATTTACTTACATGTATAAATTAAAGTTTAGGCTGTCATTAAATTATAACAACATCAATTATGATATACTTCCTGATATGCTTTGGATACATAAAGAATTTTACTGCTGTATTTTTAAACCATTAATTTATACCCTAGAAAACTACTTAAGCATTTAAAATTTTATATATTGATATAATGCTATCTACATAATCTAAACACTTTGGCATTCATAAGATGGTAGAGGGCAGTTTGTGAAACATTTTATCATAGCCATACCAAAATAACTTATTTAAGAGCATGTAGCTGATGTTAAAGCAAGTGACTGATGATAAATACAGAGAATAACTTACTTCTTTATATTGCCATAGCTGTGATATGAAAATGATATAAAAAAAAAAAGGAAAGAAACCTGAAACAAAATTTTCCACATTAAGGAACTTGATGACTATACTAAATAACTAAAGTTAATACTTGTTCTAAAGTAGTTAGAAAAATATAATTAGGTAATAGGCATAACAATAGAAAGCTTCCATATAAAGCCGCATAGTACAAGCTCAGACTTGCTTCCTTGTACTATTTTCTCCCTACCCCTCCAATATTTTATGGCACGTAAGGTTAGATTCTTCCATCCCTTGTAGAAACTACTGCATCTACAGAGGGATGATGATTTATGCTCTACAGATGCACACTGGAAAGCAGGTTTTAAGATGCAACATTCCCCAGGCCTAATTCAGCCGCAAAAACATGCCTGGCTGCAGCAGAAGCCCGGCGCAAACTGTGGAAGCCGCACGCTGATCCCAGAGCCATGTCCTCAGAGACATGGGACCTGATTGCCAAGTGTTCAGGAAGGGTAACCGCAAATACCACTCGTCAGAAATGACAGAATCAGCGCCCTGAAAGGCCATGAGATCATGTTTTCCCCCCTAATAGCATGAACTTACATAGAAATTCCCCTTTATGATGAATATTACTCTTGATTTTCATCCAATTAAATAATGCAATTGAATGTTCAGAGATAGAAGAGAATGTTAGCAACTGGCCTACTTCCACTGAAATGCGCTCACATTTCATTTATTTTCAATCAGCTATCAAATGTTTGACTCTCACAAACTGTTGTATGATTCAAGAGGCAAAAATAAAAGATTCAGCCATTACAGATTGCCTTTAAAATCTAGCCATTGATCTCAAAACTTCTGGGTTTTGTCTTGCAAGTAGAAGAGGAAAATATTTTGTGCTATGTATGTATGGCCAAATATATATATACTAGGGCCTTAGTCTGATCTTTTGGATATACATATCCATACCTTGACTTATGATGTGTCACTTGAAGGTCTTGTAGCCACACAGTGAGGCCACTGGGCTTCTTGTCCAAAGCAGGAAGAATACAACTAAAACCAACAGTTCTTTTTTCTAGACCACCTATCGAATGGTTAAAAATATAAACCACCTCTGTTTGGTTTGACCTAGAAATATTTTAAATGTGCAACACCTCTGGTGCTCCTTTTATTTTAAAATAGTCGTAATAAGAACATAATATATGAAACTGAAAATAATCATGTGGTCAATGGAGAGTAAGATAAAGGGGCATCAAGAAGGCAAAAGAAAAAACTGGTTTATCTTGAGAAGATACACAAAAATTGCCACCTAAACCAGCCTTAACTGAATATTATTTCAGCAGAAGGACACTAGAGCACCAAAATAGTTCTCTGCAGGTTTAGAAAGGTCTAAAATGACCATTCACTCACACTTCTGTGCCTCTCTAAGAGTTGCCTCACATTTA